TTTGTCAATTTCTGTCTATATTAACGCTACAATCTACTTCTAATATTTCGAATGTCTTTCTGACTTCATCTTTTCCTTCTCATATGAGAAGTGCCGAGGCAATGTCGCATAGTTTTGGCATGTCGATGTGGTACTGATCAGTACCGCACTCTAATACAAAATTCAGCATAAACAATCATAATAAAGAACTAATTAAATTGATTAAATAAATTATCAGTGCGGCACCCATGCGGCACTGATTTTTGCCAGTGTGGCTCCCGTGCGACACTCTTTCGGCAGAAATATATCGGCACTGGTGCGCACCGGTGCCAGCCAGTGCCAGTGACCGACGGCATGCCATGCGCGCCGGTGCGCACTGAAATTTTTTTAATAGGGTTAGTTTTCAGTCCTGATACGCATCAAAAAAACAAACATTGATATTTCTGAATCAATGCAAGCATTTTAATAGTTACTTTTTTATTCTGTATATAGACAATTTGTCCGACATCGATGAAAAGATTATTACCCAACTTCTAGAACAAGAACAACAAGCGCAAGAATTGCCAGCAACCGTAAGTTTGAACCATACTTTTGTACCATACGTTTGAACCATTTTTTTTTAATGTTAGTAGAAGTTTCGTATTTAGGTAAAAATCTATCGAGATGTCTTTGATAATTAGTTCTTTATTTTGAAAATTTTGTCTTTGTATGTTTTCTTTGTTCATTTTCTTTATTATTGTTATTAATGTTGAGGGGTTAAGCATCGCTAATCATAATATTATTGAGCATCAATTGGCAAGTATATTATCGAATATTAATGCTAGTCATCGAATGTCAATGAAAATGAAAGATGAGCCGGCGGAAAGCTATCATGTACGTTATATGAGCGATATGAATTCAAGTCGTGCAAGATATGTACTTGCCTGTAAGAAAATAGCTAATGGAAAAAAACGTAAAACCCATCCATCAATAGAAGTAAGTTAGAAGATGATTTTCGATATCTTTAATTAAGATTGCTTTGTTCTTTAGATACCTGACTTGCGACCTTTGTTACCTACCGGCTGGCTGGCGTATGTTCGAGTTAGCCGTATACTAACAAAATTATTAGATAATAAACAGTATCACCATCCATATCCATTGACGTCAAATGATGTCCATGTACTCCTTGGTGAAGGATCGCTTTATGATTTAATAGACGAAACAGAAATGATGCTTCGTTTTAAAAAGTAAATATATTAATATGCGCTTAAATATTCAGAGCGCGTGACACGCAATCCTGCTCGCTAGAATCAACAATCTGTTGCCGTTTTATGTTGTCAAACTACTCCAAGTTTTTTCTTCTTTCAAAATATCTGAAATTATACGCAGCCATAGATTGAGTGAAAAGTCTTTGCCTCATAATATAAACAGTAGTATAATTTATACATTCATATAATAATACTAACGAGGGAAGAGCACCAACTGTCCCATCGCTTTTCGCCTAAACCTTAGTGGACAATAGGTAATCGAGTGTGCTGAATCCGTATATCATAATGGTTTTTTCCTAAAGGTCTCTGGAGACCCCAGTTTTTGGAAAACCAGTTTTCAGAAAAATTTAACCAAAATCTTTCTTAATTAGGCTTGATTGTAGCCTGCACATTTTTGATTAAATAAGACATCTCCCAGCTCTACATGACCATTCTTTGCAAAGTTATAGAATTTACAAGAAAAGCCTTAAATGTTCATTGTCAGCTCAAAGCTACAAAAATAAGAAGAAATTAATCTGGGCTTTTCTTGTAAATTCTATAACTTTGCAAAAAAAGATCATGTAGAGCTGGGAGATGTCTCATTTTAATCAGAAATGTGCAGGCTACAAGCAAGCCTTATTAAGAAAGGTTTTGGTTATTTTTTAGAGTTTCTGAAAACTGGTTTTCCAAAAACCGGGGTCTTCAGAGACCTATGGAAAAAAAACATTGTGACATTCGGGTTTAGCACACTCGATTACCTATTGCTCACTAAGGTTTAGGCGAAAAGCGATGGGACAGTTGGTGGCCTTCTCTCGTAAGACAAATTTTTTAAGCTGCACCGCTTCACTTTTTGATATTTTAGTAGAGAAATTTTCAAATGACGATTTCTCCTCGTGTTAGCAATGCGTGGGATTGCATTGCGATAAGAAAACTAGTCCAAATATTAAACATTATATTTTTCCGGTCACTAGATGCGGAATAGTCTCACTTTCATCTTTTTATTAATATCCGCATGAGTGAATACAGACTAGTATCGATTATCATCTATGCGAGGTAGTCTTAATTGATGAATGATTTCATGAGATCCGTGCCACATTATTTCAACTTTTGTCGTGTAAGCTAGAATGAATGATCAACTGATTGGATCTATAAGTATAAAATATTTTATACTTATAG